ATGGCTGGTACTCTTGAAAGATCGTTAGGTGTTAAACAACGTATTCACACGTTTTTATTGATTTTCTGTTTTCAGCGTATTTCTTTAACGTGTACATGTATTCAGAAAAGTTTTGCACTTGTGAATTTAAAAGTAAGAATCATAAGAGGCCGTGTTGGATATTAGGAACAATTTGCAGTTTGTTCCTGGGCAAATCGTACACACACGACGTGCCGGTTACAATAAACTTTAAATCGACATGTGTGTATATAAAAAGGTTTTTTATAGGGAAAAAAATTCATTTTTCGAAAATATAATTTGCCTTGTTCGACAGTTATACACCATTCGCCCTATTCGCGTACCTATTCGTAAACATCATTTGTGCGCATTCTCTTCAGCACAACTGCGTAAGAGCACGTAGATCTGAATAATTCAGACGCATATATGCCATTCGAGTCTTTTTGATCCGCATTAATATAGTAGCAGCCGTTTGTGCAAGGGAATATACAAAAAAAAGTATATATTACGTTTCGCTTTGGTAATAACGAAACGGCTTATAACACATGCGTATTAAAGTTTTTAAAACTTTGATATCGTTTTAGTTTTGCGTCGTACGTTTTTATAAGTGGCGAATCAAATATAAACGATTTACGAAGAAACAAAAAATTGTATAAATATATAACATAGTGGTTATTATAGTTATTATAGGTTAGAAGAAAAGAAAAATATGTAGAAATAATACATTTACAGAACGTGGCGAAATATTTTTTTTTTTACCCAGTGAATCTCTTCAAACACTATCGTCAATGTACTTATAAAAATAGTAATGAAATTTTTTCAACAATTCGTTTCGAGGATATTTGGATACTCACTATATCAATAAACAGATACAATCACGTATTAGTCTTAGCCGCACAAATACATTTTATTGCTATTACATTTTAAATATGTAAAAATAGTTAATAAATACAAAAAATAATGGCAAACATATGTTTTTGAAAACAAATAAATAAAATAAAACCTAATACTATGTACTTGTATATTACATATTGTAAGTTGTAAATGTTTAAATGTTTGTGAGATACGCGAGTCGCATTTTGGTTACAGTTGTTTTAAATATCACGGACGAACAATATTGTATCCGCAATTAGTATTTTGAAGTAATGAAGTAAAAATATGTGGTTTTAAATATTTAATAGGATTTCCCCACTTCTGATACTTGTTGTAATTTGTTTACCAAATACCTACTTAATATACATCGTGTTTACATCGTAATTTTATTTATTCATTGAACCTATATCATTATAGGTACATCTAAAAAATTAAGTACATTGGTAGTACAACCAATCAGTCATAATAATTATTAATTATAATAATCACATTTTTCAATCGACACAACCTATCTGTATGTACCTAATGGAAGTAATGAATATGTATTCTATTCATTCATTCACGCCTTTTTGTAAATAGGTTGTTATGAAGACATGGCCATTTAAAGAAATAATATTAGGTACTAGTTATTATGGAATTATTATCGATATTTTTTGTTTTTAAATTATAGTTATCAATATAAATAGTGCGCAATTCGTCTATTTTGTTATTATTCTTCAATAAAGAGTATTATTTTGAAATATACCAATTATCTAACTAATTATAAAATTAAAAATTTGTTATTATACACATATTACACTCTTAGTCCTTTAATATAAAACCAGGGAGTAAAATATGCTTACTAACAAAGTGTTTTTACACAGTTACAGATAACATTTTTATCTGAAAATGTGTAATTATTTGTAATATTATTAGTTAATAATTAATTAATAATTATTGGTTATTTTATATTTTATGACCAATTTTTTTTTTTATTTATCAAAAGTTTTAAAAATGTTGTATTTAGAAACACATATTTTATAAGTATATGGAAAGTATCTAGTTGATAACACTATCTTTAATTTTAAAAAACAATTCTAAAGAATCTTTGAAGTTTACGGACGACCAATGTGTATTATTGATTATGAATATTGTAAATGAGTTCATTTTAAATACACATCGTAATATATACGTATTTTAATAAATTAATTACAACATTGTCTTATACTAGATGGAATAGGTACAAATTCTGTAAGAATGACTTTTTTTTTAGGTGGAAACTCAGAATAGTTAATTGATTTCGTGAGAAAATTCGTTGAAAGAAATCATTTACCCTAAAACGTGTAATCTGTGAAGTTTTTTTTTTTTTGCGGAAAAACATTGTTGGTACAATAGAGATTGATGCTTTTAGAGAAAATTTTCACTTTCTACAACAGGGAATAATCCGTGATTGATTTTTTTTAGGTAAAACACTGAATCGAGGTTAATTAATTGTAAATATATTATTTAGTGGTAAGTGGCTGTGATAGAATAATGAACTTTATACATGTACAAATTTTGCTGTACAATGAACTTAATCAATCTCAAAAAAGTAGTCAAGCGCATTGAGTACTTCGCTGTTGGAGTAAGTTCTATAAGTCATATTACACAGTTCAATGAAAATTATGGTTCAGTTGACACAAGAAATATTGTATTTTATGGTTTATGTTCCTGGTAGATTAAAATACATCTTTAACTTATTTCGGTTTGGTGCAAATACTGGAGGATTTTTTAAAGATTATGTACATTGATATGTCGAAAAATGTAAATGACCGAATGTTGGTTTCGTGTTTTTTATTAAATAAATATTTTATCTGATATAATTTAATGATCGTGTAAAATTACAAATGAGTGTTCTTTAGCAGCTTTTACTGTCGTAGTTATAACAATAAGGTGTTAAAAATTATAATTATGTTGCACGAATGAAGGATATTTACTATTTAGTCCTACCAAATACTCACATGACAATAATGTATAAGTCACTAATGATTTATCCATTATCTATTGTGACCGCGTGACATTACATAATCATTGTTTGCAGTGGATCTTCTGCTTGTTTAAATATAGTCGTTTAACCCGTTTATGAAATTGCATTACGTAATATCGTTATTTGTTATATGATATATAGGTAATTAGTATTTATTACACAAATGACCGTACATTAGTCATTAGTTTATAGATACCTAATAACTCTGGACCATATCATTATTGTTTAAAAATACTAACTACTATATATACTACTATATATTGTGCAGTATTCGGTTCAATAACACCATATAATTCTACTTTCCAAGGAACAAACCCATCAAAAATAAGTGACTATATTATTACATATCTGTTATATTGTACATAGAACACTATTCTGTTCCTTGTGTGTTTATATCGGCACATGTAAATTTGTATATAAGTTTATTGAAAGTGACATAAATGCAATTAGGAGTGAACTTGAGAACTTGGCTCTCCCAAGATTCACTTACGCCATTAATTGATGTGTGTACGTAATAATACGTACGTGTATAATATGTACATATTATGTATAAATGTAAATTATGTTGCCTATATGAGTGCGCCATGGCCTCCTCAACGTTTGTTGATATTTTATTATATTTTACGAGTATTATTGTCGGTAACTAAATATTTCGATAGTAATATTAATCTATGCTTGTCTCAATAATACATTTCAAAACACATACGACGTAATAATTTAATTCATTCTAAGTTTTGTAATAATAAATTGTAAAATGATTGAAGAATCATATAAATCGCTAAAATTGCGCATGAATTGAAAAAACAATAATAATGAAACACGGCGAAGAAATCTTTTGAATTGTTATCAAACAACAGCGGCGTGCAATAAGGAAGTCGTTTTTTTATAATTAAAAGCCTTCGGGGAATGCACCCCACAGTTTTTTTTTAAAAAAGAAAAAAAATTAATTTAAACAATGCTATAAGCCAATGATTAAATATGCGAAAAATACATGTTTATGAAATTAAGATCGAATAAGTTATTACTAATTACAAATATTATAAATTCTATTAAGAAAAAGAAAAATATATGTTAAATCTTATAAGACAATGATATATTTATTCATTTTGTATCAAGTCTTCGTCTATGAAATATTAAATAGGACATTTTGTGATGTTCTTAATGTTTATTGATTAAAAAATACACCAAAATATTGTAAAATCAAAAAAAAATTAAATAAATTATAATAATTTTTAGTACAAATTAATGAGTAAGCCATTCTATTATTCACTTAGAATCGTTTAAAGAAGTCGAAAGTTTATAAGTCATAAAAATAAATCGTTGAAATGAAGATATCTTTAGATTCACTGTTTTATTTTATTTTTTATGAATAATTAAAATATTTAAAATAAGTTATTTGGGTATTACTTTAAAAATGCATACTAGTCAAATTATTTCGAAGTTGCATTAATTTTATGAACGTAAATTATAATATAATAAGTGATGAGTATTTTATATTTTTAATAGTAGGTTCAATATTGTAAAGGTAACCAGTAAGTATATAGGTATGTACATATTTACACCATATCATTAAGAAGTTAGTTGTGAACCGTACTCTACTCATACCATAAAATAAAAATCTCAATTTTACCATTTATATATAAAGATCAAATATAATTATTATTAATATATATTTTTGTAACTTATAATTTCGCCCAGTTATAACTACAAACTTAGGTAACTGCATGAATTACGAAGGGGTTTACCACAAATCATAATTTTAGTATTAATTAATTTAACGACTCAAATTTATGAAATTTACTACAATTCCTACATTAAGTATATAAATTATAAATATTTCAGTGATAATAGAATAATCAATATTTTACAATAAATAATAATTATCTATAATCATTAACATGCATACATATTGTGCAATAAATATAACTAATATATTGTCTGATTTACAATTATATCATGAAATTATCAATGATAACTAATATTAACCAAAATATAATAAAATGTTGGCCATTCAAAAATTATAATGTTTAAATTTTATTAATGTATCGTAGATAATGGTACTTTAAGAATTTTAATACGTTTGAAGCGTTAGTACATAATATTTAAATAATTAGGGAAAACTCACTTGCACTGCTGTTAATGAATCCCTGATATATATCGTTAAAACTGTTTGCATCACTGGACATAACTAAAACATAAGAAAACAAAATTTCATGATTACTGAATGTACCAAACGTTTGACTGACACTAATCTATATAAGTATTGGTAGATTGTGCAAAAACCTATGAATGTAAATTTGCATTTTGTGTTTTACTCTAATTTTCTAAAGTTCACTATACTATAGTTAATACACGTTGACAGCCAAGAAAATGACAATATATTTTTTTTCTTTTACCCATTTTCTATAAATTAGTACTATTTAGGCACACACAATATTTAGTAGTTATGAAAATTCACTAGTTTTTTAGCAAGAATTTAATAACAATGTAATATTCCATACGCATATTAATTGTTTTGTTTTTTTGACATTCAATTTCATATCAATTAATTCATGTATTTATTGTACTACTAATTTATTTAATAAACACTATAGTAGTTTAGCGTTTAAAATTAGACATTGAAGTACTTAAAAATTAACTCATTGTGAAAACTACTTTACTTTATACTTGTGGGAAATTATAGTTAAAACTATAAAGTTTAACTTTATATATCTGTTATATTAACACCATCCTTTCGCAAGGCCTCAACGTTCTATGTACGTTATATAAGTATAATGATATAAACGAGTATGATATTTGACTTAAAATATTGTATGCGTATTATAACGATAGCTATTAAAGTATTTATTATCTATGAAAAATGGTAATAATAATTAATCTTGGTTGCATTTTGAGTATCGGTAAACATATAAAGAAATAACATTTCATACCATTAATGTAGTATTATCAACAAAATATAAAATAGTACTTGTATTTAATGACAATATATACTTCAACCTATTTTTATTGACTTAGTTTGATAAATAAATAGGTAAATTTTTCTAATGATTTATAATTAACAGTTATAAACATCAAATGTATATAGTATACACATTAAACCTCAAAAGAAAGAATACATTAGAATATAATAGTTGAAAACTGATATATTTTCAGATTAAAATTTTTTAAGTGTATGCAATACATTAAGACATTTGAAATTAAATAAATAAAAAAGATTATATGCTATAAATTAAGATTATAATTATAACTATTTAAAGTATACAAATTGTATACAATTTCAGAATAATATATTAAACAACTATTATGATTTTGATAGATCTTGGGGAAATGATTCTTTTAGTTCAAAATATTACTAAAATATCTTTAAATTTCGATTAATGACCTGTAAAAGATCATTGCTTGTAAATTAAACATATATAGAGTGCTATCATTCTTGGTGATATAGGCTTACTTAAATATTTTGATTTATACTAAAGACTAAATAATTGATTCAATAAAGGATTTTGCACTATAAGATTGCCGAAAATTAATCCAAAATAATTATTTTACATATTATAATTTTAATGTTTGATATAGATATAGTGTTATGTATTTTATTTCTATAGTTTTAATTTAAATAAATAAAACAATATATTTATTTTAATTTGATTTTTATCTAAGTTAAAATCAGAAGAACTGGATTATTTGATAGATATTTTATAGTTTAGTACTATAAAGTAAAAATATGATGTTTTATTATTCATCCAAGCATTTAGAGTTGAGATAGAGTAAATATTGTATTTATTAAACCCTTTAAGCGAGTACATATTTTCTATCTTTACATCTACTTCAATATGACCTTCGATATGTTTTAATAAGTTTTATAACCATTTGAATGCAAAAAAAAGTAATGTTATGCTTGTTAATATCTAAAGCATTATAAATTAATTAATATAGTTCTTAAACTCAGACTAAAAACGTATATAGTATACTATATAACGTACACAAAATGTTAATATAAAATGTATCATATTTTACGCAAATAGTATATAAATGTGGAAGTGATATTAATCATATTAATTTATATTTTTTCAATATAAAAAAATATTAATTTACTATCCGAGTTCCATAAGGTGTTGATATGAAAACAAAAAATTTGAATAAAAAATATATATTTTTTTCTAACGAACAGCTATGTGTAATTAGTTTTTTTGTATTGTTATGTGGAGATTACAATAAAGCTCATGAACCGAGGTGAATCTCCTTTTGTGTATGGCGAATAGGTTTTATTCTACATCAGAGAAAAAAATGCAAATCATTTAAATTTGTTAAAACTGATGTCATATTGATTAATTGACTTTTCTAGGTTAAGGTTTTAATAAAATGTCCGTGATTTGCAGTGAAATTTAAGATGTCAACAATACATAAACCTAATCGAAGACAAAATATTAATAAGTATGGCGAATAGTACTCAAAAACTAAGAAATTAATTCTATACTTCGCAAAAGGTCATATTTTGTTAAATTTGTATATTTATTTTTACAAAGAAGATGATTTTTATTGTTCAGGAAGTTTTGTCACACTACATAACTCAATTTTACAAGCTTAAATTACATACATACACTGTCTAATAAATGTTAATTTTTTTTTCAAGGACATGCAATATAAAAGACATACCTATAATTCACGTGGTTTAATTACTCTTAATGTTATTGAGAAACTAGAGTTTTAAATAGTTATATAATATAGTTAAAAATATTATAACAGCGTCTTATATTTCCGGCAAATGTCAACTTTTGTGATTAAGATTATGTTTTTTACAAATGTATAAATTATTTTCCGCAGTATTAAAGATCCTAATCAGATTAATCATACATGAATCACCTATCTAATCAGATATAGCAAATTGAATTTTCATAAATGTAGACTTTTTATCTGAATACATAATTAAAGTATCAGCTATTCATTTTGATGTTAAGGAAAAATAATTTAAAACGTTTTTTTTATATTTTATATTATGTTGAAAATATTAAGTTACTCAATGTATATTGTATAAGTATGCATTAAAGAGTTGTTTACAACTTAAAACTTAAAAATTCCTACTTCGCTGATTAGTTAAACTTCTAAAAACTGTTTTGATGAGCTTTGTTTCTTAGAACTCTTATAATGAGAAAAAAACAAAATTGTTTGTCATTGAAAATAATGTAAAATGTGGGGTAATTTAAAATGTTAATATTTGAATAAATAGAAAAAAACATTTTTTTAAGTACTCAGAAATTCAAAGTGCGTTTGTTATATGTTTTGAGTTGGGTATTTCAAAGGAAATGTGAACATTTAATTTAGTACATACAATATTAGTAATACACTTATAATATAATATACTATATAATGTATTATTTTGTTATTTTGTTATTATCGATTGAAATTGAAAATTTTTTTAGCAATTGTTTATTATAAAGATTAATTTATATTTTTTACTTATTAGTATTAGTTATTACATTGAAATTCAAAACCATGTCTACCGTCATGCAAATAATATTAAACCTTAGCAGGAGGTAAGGCTATCGAATCTTTATAGTAGGACATTCTTTATTAATAAGCTTGATTTTTGAACTTCGAGTGGATACTAATTCTGTAGGGACAATATAAATTTAAATACAGAAGATGTTTCTGTTAGATTAAAACAAGGTGAATATCCCATTTCTTCTCGAATAATTAGTATTTTGAATTAAAATTATTTAGTATGTATCAATTGTTATTTTTTTGACTTTTAAATAAGTATGGAAGGTATTCAAAATAGATCTATTTGGATTCCACGAAGGAAATTATTACAACGGTTATTCAAACATTAAGGAAGAGTCGAGAATTGGAGAATTGTTTAATTAATTTCAATTTGATTAATTGTTAAATAAAACACACGCTGTCCTTGTAATAGTTAAACTATATTTTAATGACGTATCAGGGTTTCGCAAACCAACCCTAATTAATACAATGCAATGCTATTTTTATAACACACAGATCATAATCAATGTTATTTGAATAAACTTTACAAAGTTAAAATAAATATCGTCAAACTATCAGATTATGAGAGGAGAAATTCATTTTAATTATTATGTGTGCTTTATTTAGGAGATATTATTTGGAGTAGTATTATAAACAAATTTTTGAATTTTCCATCAATTTTTGAGAAAATTATACAAAAGTGTAACAGTAGTTGAATTGTAAAATTATAATTTTCAAAAAGTCACAAAACTATTATTTTTGTATATTGTTATGTTTCATTGGTTGCATATAAAGTATAGGAAACATATAATAAATAGTAATTTTCCTTGAGATAATGTCATAAGTATTTCTGAAGCGTTTCCAATACCAGTTTTTTACAAATATAATACTATCAATAAGCTCGATAATATCGGATAAAAATTCAGGCGGACATGTGAGGTTAAATTTAATTAATTTATTTGCTTTATTTTTTATCAATTGCTATAACAAAATCCATATGTTTTAAATTAAATAACAACAATAAATAATCAGGTAAGTGGGTTAGTGGTTTGGAGTTGGGTTTTATGGTCAAGGACTGAACATCAAAATGAAATCTTGTACCGTGATCTAAGAACGATATTTAAACTATCCTAAAGGAATAATTGTCCCTGAAACATCGATTAGATTGATTATCAGAGATTTAATTTAATATAAATAATATGCATGTAATCAATATGACATATTTAAGCATACAAGTTTTCGGCACCCACAAGAATATTGATGAAAACAAAAATGACGTGAAAAGTAAAAACTTTCAAGAACGCTAACTAACGTAGGTTTAAAATTTAATAATACATTTTACAAAATTATTTAAACTTAAACCTTGTGAAAAAAGTAAACTAGTTAAAGTCATAAAATTATTAACTTAAACACTAATTGAATGGAAATTAAAAATATAATAAATATAACATTCATATGATCATAATACATATTAATTATAAGTGTTGGTAAAACATAAATCTATTTATTGAATATTAATTTAGTATTATTTTTGAAGTTGTACATTTTTTCAGCTACTTATTAGTTTCAGAAAGATTTTAGTGTAGCACTTATAAACTCATATAATCAAACACTATAATATCTTTACGACTGGATAAACAAATACAATTATCATCAAGTAAACGTGAACTTAATTCAAGTATGTATTGATCAAATAGGATTAAAACT